TGGCTGCTCCCCACCAGACCCCTTCGCGCCCCTGAGAGACACTCCAAAGACCATTAGTGTCCTTGGGGACCTGGGGGAAAAGGGCAGGCCAGGTGCGCCTCACCGAGGGCCCCAGGAGTGGGGCCAGGCAGGTGGCTGCCCTAGGGAGCAATTGAGTCCTAGATATGAACCACAGCTGGTCAGTTGGCAGCTGTATCTCTGGGAGAAACCACTAGAAGTAGTAGCCTTGGCCAGGGCTAGGGCCCCCTGAGGACGGGGACCAGGACCCATCCAGAATGAGGAGAGGGCCTGGGCCACATGGACCCCTGTGCACTGGAGAAGCCACTGCTTGTGAGAGCACCAGGAGGACCCCTGCAGGGTTCCTCCATCACAGGTCCAGCCAGAGGTGCTGGATGCTGAGAGATGAAACCCGGAGCAGGCCGAGAGTCATGAGCATTGAGCCCTGGCCCCAAACAACATAGGACCCTGCTGCTGCCGGGCCTGGCCTGGCCATGGGTTTTCTAGCAGCACCCCAGCACCAAGAAGCAGAATCCCAAATCCTGGAGGTCAGACAGGAAGCATCTGTTCCAGCCTGCAGAGCCTGTGGGGCAGGTAAGGGACCTCTCCTTGGGGAACAGGCAAGGAAGAGCAGTGAGACGGATCAGAAGGAAGGATCAGCCTTAGAGGCAGGATCCGAAATGCTGGGATCTGAGATGCTGACTTAAAAGTGGCTTTGTTGGCATTGATTTGTTGTTGTTGTTGTTGTTGTTGTTGTTGTTGTTGTTGTTGTTGTTGTTTTGGTACCGGGGCTTGAACTAGGACCTTGCTCTTGCGAGTCAGGCGGCGGAACCACTGAGCTAAATCCCCGGAGATTTTTATTTTTTAATGTTTGTGCTGAAGTATTACTCATCCCGGTTTCCGAGTTGTTTGCACCAATCCTACTGCCTCACTTGGTCTCCTCCAAGGATGTGCACTCACTGACTTGTTTATAAACATTTACTGGGGGCCAGGCCTGGGCATGCTGAGTCTACACTGAACCAAAGGGACCTGTCCAGCGGTGGGGATGGGCCCGTGACCTGTTTAGGAGCAATAAACAGGAAAAATGCTCCCTCTGTGGGCACATTCCCAATCTGGTCTCACAGCTTGGCCGGTGGTGGTGGCCTCCAGCAAGAGTGACAGCGTATGGAAAGGAAAGTGTGGGCCACACCAGTGGCAGGAGGTGCCTTAAGCAGGGACAGGGACAGGGACTTCAAGGGTCTGTGCTCCTAGCCTTTGAGCTGCAGTTCAGAAGGAGGTGTTGGAGCGATTTAAATGTTTTGGAAAAATTGGTTCCGGATCTCAGCCTGGTATAAAGCCAGATCTGAGACATAGCTGGAAAGAAGGCAACAGCCACGTTCAAAAAACGTGGTGTGGGAGGACCACAGGCTGCCTGGGGAGGACATGCAGGTCCATATGGTGACTAGGCTCCAAGATTACTATGAAATTGGCAAGAGAATTTAAAGCAAGGATCCTGAGCACTGACCAAGGAGGACTGGGTGTTCTCATGGACTCTCTAGGCAGTAAGTCATAAAAGACATTATGTTTATCTAAACTGCGTAATTCCACTTCTAGGAATTTATCCAGGGGAAGGGGTGAAACCAAAGCGGGGCAGTGAGCTCAATATCAGTGGGGAGGAGAAAACAGGAAACCCTTGAATAGCCAGATAAAGGGATATGACAGGCTCAGAATACACGTAAAGATCTTACACAAACCTTCAAAATTCTGTTTCTGAAAACCAGAATCTGGCAGAAAGTTAATATTCAACAAAGCCTGATTGGTTTTCATCAAAATAAAGACATCATGTCATAAAAATGTTTCTGAAGCATCTCTAATGTGGGAACATCTGGGTTTCTTAAAAGATAAAAGGGCTCCACTGGCTTTCTTAAGGCCTATGTGCATTTTTCAAATATAGGAAATTTTCAATGGTATATCTCTTGCTGGTGGGATTTCACTTAATTTTAATTTTAATTTTATTCTGGTTTTATTAAAATGTTCACAAGAAGAAATATTTCACTTTTTTCTTCAAAAATAATTTTAATACTAGTAACATATTTTTAGAAATGCTTTTTGCAAATATATGTATGAATACATATATATGTATATATTTATTTATTTATTTATTAAGCAGAGAAGTAGAGAGAGAGTATATAAACATCTCTTAACATCTCCTATTTCTTTCCCGCAAAACCTACTCTCTGGAGATGACCACTATCATGTTGGTCTACATACTTCCAGAGTTTTTCTTTGTGTGTCCTTGAAAACACACACATACATAACTGGTGTTGAGATTCTGTTTTCAAAAATCAAGCCATATCCTGCGTTTTACCCTGCAATTAGCTTTTTAAACAACTTCTTACTGACATTTTTTATATTAGCCCGTATGGATCTACTACCATGCTCTCATAAATGACTTTGTAGGCAGAGTTTGGATAAAATAGAATGTTTTATTAATTCCCTTATTAATGGACATTTAAATTGTTTCCACTAAAGTTATACAAGTAATGCTATAATGGACATTCCTCTGTGTGTGTGTGTGTGTGTGTGTGTGTGTGTGTGTGTGTGTGCGCATGTGTAGAGAGATAACATTTATGTGTTTATATAAGATAGATGCCTAAAAGTGGAATTTCCTCATCATAGAGAATCACTTTTCAAATTTTAAAAGTGATTCCCATAACACCCCAAAAGGCTGTTTCAGTTTACACTTACATCGTGAATGACAGTACCTTTCTCCTGCATCCTTGCCCCAAATGTGATATTTTTGCATCTTCTTTATGTTGCCTGTGTGTTCAGCAAAAATAGAATGAGTTTATTGTTTTGCGATTTATTTGATCATTGATGAAATTATTTATACTTTCATATGTTTATGGACTGATTTTATTCCTCCTGTGAATTAAAGGATCATCACGTGGCCTCCTTTTTCCATTCAGTTGCTCTTATCTTCTTTATCTTTGGAAAGTCTTAATCTATCAACGAGGGAGTAAACCCTTGCTTAGTTTGTTTCAAATATTTTCCCCTGATCTATTTTATGCCTTTTGTTTATGGAATATTTCACCATAAAGCAGTTGGCAATTTTTACGTGTCATATTGGTTTAATGTTTTCTTTATGCTTTCTGCAATTAGTACATATATAGGAAAAAGTCATTTTATTCTAATATTATAAGTCATTTTCCTATTATACTCTGGTACTTTCATTGTTTTGAGGCATTGCTTTGTGGGAGTTTTTTTTTTAACTTTATCTGGGGTTTGTTTTCTGTGTATAAAAATATAACCTTGTTTATTTTCTAAATGGAAAGCCAATCACAAATTTTAAATGTAAATACTAAAGAACAGATTTATTGCTTTCTCTGTGATTCTCTTGAACTGTTGATATATTTCTGCACTGTTCCATCCTGTTTTAATTGCTTTATAGCATGTGCTGGTATGTGGTAGAGAAAGAACCTATCACTATTACTATTTTTCAAAATATCCATGCCTATTCTCCCTCATTCCTCTTACTTTAGACTCAGTTCCCTATTTATGAAAAAAAAATCATTCTTTTAGTACGGTGCTTATAATTTCAGGGAATATAGGATTTATATGAGAATTTATATCTTTACAATGCTCATCATTTTCATCCAAAAGCACAACGTTCCCTCCATTCATTCACTTTTATGTCTACTAGTAAGGAAGCTTTATATTTTATTCATGAAAATCTTGCTGATTTTATGCTATTTACTTAGAAGATATCTTTCACATAACTTTATTGAAGTTGTAAATTTCCCCCCTCACTTCATAGCCTAAATGGTTGCTGCTTCTATAACAGAGAAGCCTGTCGACTTTTACAGTGAGCAATGTTAACTCTTGCATGAGTTCTCATGGTTCTTCAGCTTATTCTGTTGACTCTGCTGTGTTTTAGTAGACTAAAACATCGTGTCCAACAAATAATTTTCTCTCTCTTCTCTTAATACTTAGGCCTTATCCCCCCCGATCTCTGTTCATTGGGTGGGATCCATAGAATATGTTGAATAATGAAAGTGTGTATAATCAAGCTTGTCTTATTTCTAACTCAAATCTTTTGCTTTTATGTTTGAAGGCTGTTGTAAATTTTGAAACATGATCTTTAATGAGTTGAGGAAATTTCCTTCAGTAACTTAATAAAATGCTGAATGTCTGCTTTCTGTACTCAGAAACAAGTGTTGGATTTTTATTGCTATTTTATTATGTTCTAGGTCAAGATCTTATGCATCTATTTCTAATACAATAGCCAATGGTCATGCTGCTAAATTAAAAAAAAAAAATACATGATGGGCCGGGGGTTTAGCTCAGTGGTGCTGCCACCTGCTTTGCAAGCACAAGGTCCCGAGTTCGATCCTGGGTACAAAAAAACAAAACAAAACAACAACAACAACAAAATGCTACCTCCACTGCAAAATGTTGTCTTCTAATATAATTAAATGGCCTTAGGAGATAAAATCTGATTTGGAAAAGCATGAGGATTTCTACTATCATAAGCCCTTAGAGTGAGACTTAGTGTTTTTTCCTCTTCTTTTAGAGCATTTTGATGTTGTGTTGTGTTGTGTTGTTTTAGAATGTCTAGGATACAGAAGGTTATTCAATGGTGGAAATGCATTCTGAAACAACTCCAGGCCTCTGGCCAAGAGAGACTGAGCAAGTCCAAACCAGCTGAGGACTCTGCCAAACCACATAGCCACCTGATATGTCAGTCAGGGATTTGCTTAGCCCCTACTGTGCTCAGGGTTACTGTCAGCACTAACAGACTCATGGAAGAGGGGACACATGTCAGGTAGCCCCAAGCCAATGGACATTGCCTGCCTGGAAAAGGAATCAGGTCTCTAAGGAGCAGACCACCCACTCAACCACTGCTGAGGACACAGCCCCACCGTCACGCCTAACAGATGTTAGGCCACTAATGTCACGCCACTCCAGCCTAGCCCCCAGAGAGGGCAGGCACCTGGGTTTTAGTCCGAGCCTCAGTCACTGTGGTATGTCTTCGGCGGCGGGACCCACCTCACCGTCCTAGGTAAGTGGTTCTCCTGTTGTTTCCCAGCCTGCCCTACTCCTTTTCTGTCATGGGAAAGTCTGTTTCCTCTCTAGGGACTTTCTCCTCTCTACTCTCACAGGGACTGGGGGAGGCAGGTGATCAACAGGTAAACAGCAGAAAGGATCCCAGGAGACAGATACGGACTAGTCCTGAGGACCTTGGATGGGAGTTGTTCAGATACGGGCTTTCCTTCCCCTCCTCTAGGGCAGATGCTTAAGTGGGGTCAGAAAGCAGGTCTGACAAGGGGCACTGAGTGGCTTTAGACTGTCTCTAACAGAGAGACAGTCTCCAAATTCTACAGTGAGAACTGGAAGTTTATCCAGGCTAGGAGAGCACTCAGGAGGCCCGGGGACATGGCTGGAGTTTACTTCAAGGGGAGGGAGACAGAGAGACTTCTGGCTCTGTCTAGGATGCAGATCTCCAGGCTTCTGCTGGTGAGGAGGAACCAGGGAGAGAGACACATCAGACTATGTGAGGTGGCCAGAGCCCAGGATGGTCATCAGAAAAGAGAGGTCCCTTAGGCCAGAGACTCACCCGTTCTGGAACCCCTTAATCTTGGGGCCTGGAGTCGCACTTGCTGATTAATCACTCTCCTGCCTTCTTTGAAGGGCACATTTGGCTCAAAAATGAGAAACAGGGTAGTGGGATAGAGGTTTCAGAAAACGACCTCACTGCAAGGTAAAATCAAGATTCCTTAGAAGTTACAGGGATGGATGGGAAGGGGCTCAGTACCACCCTTTGAAGGAGCAGACACAAGAACGCAGCCCAGGCAGTGGTCCTGTGATCAACTCGGTGGGCACAGAGGAGATGACCAAGACATGGGAAAGCCCAGGCTTCCACACATAGAACAAATTCCTTGTCCCGAGAGGAGACTGGGATAGAGCAGAGCCTTACACTGCTGAGGACAGACACGGCTAAGAATTCTCTCAGGCACTAAATAGCTTTAAGACCTCCTAAACACCACAGGGCCGTCCTCCAAGGCTGAAGGCAGATATTCTGTCACACAGGCTCTGGGAATGTGAAACATGAAAGGCAGTGGAGGCCTAACCTGGGGTGAACACCAGGGACATGGAATGACAGACCACAGCTTGGCCTGGTGACAGCCAAGAAACTGAGGCTGCAGAAGGGAAGGAGGGGGCCAAGGTCACCCGGGATGGGCGATATTGGAAGGACTTCTGGAAAGGAGCAATGATCTGTGTTCTCCAGGGATCTCATGTTGAAACCAAGGCAGGGTGACAAAAGAGTCAAGACATTGACAATAGAAAGGCAAAGAGACGTTGTGCAGGTGGATAAAAAACATGCACCTTAACCTCTCTTCGAACCACTCTTCTAATGGCACAGGTCAACCTAAGGCCAGCCCAGCGGTCACCCTGTTCCCACCTTCCACTGAGGAGCTCGGGACAGACAAGGCCACAGTGGTGTGTCTCATCAATGACTTCTACCCGGGCGTTGTGACGGTGGCCTGGAAAGCAGATGGCAAAGACGTCACCCAGGGAGTGCAGACCACGCAGGCCACCAAACAGAGCAACAACAAGTACATGGCCAGCAGCTACCTGAGCCTGACTGCAGACCAGTGGCGTTCGCACACAAGAGTCGGCTGCCACGTCACACATGAAGGCAGCACAGTGGAGAAGAGTCTGGCCCCTGCGGAGTGTTCCTAGCACCTGACCATCACGCCATCCTTGGGGGACTAAAGCACGGGGACCCCGGGGAAGAGTCCCCTTCCCGACCCCACCCACCCATTCCTGCCTTGCTCTCTGAACCCATAAATGCTCAATAAAATATCCCCTCTCAATCAGAAACTCTGTTTGCCTCCTGTGTTTCACCCATTATTGCGTTTTCAAACTCCTCAGGGCTCTCCTGGGGGAGACTGGGTGCCTCTGAGAACATTCCATGGTGCATCGGCCTAGAGAGGGCTCAGCTGGGCACCCTCCTCCCAAAAACTCCACTGTACCCTGAGACACCCGCTGTGCAAACCCACACCAGGCATGTCTTCTACGCTCCTTGATTCTTATCTCCTTCCCGAGGACCTAAGCATCCAACAGGTCCGATGTGCCCTAGGTAGAGGGTCGCTCCTCAGTTCTGAAAGGTCATTGCTCAGGGGCAGAGACGCTGCCACTGTGAGATGCCACCTCCCAGTCACCCGTGCACCCCATTCTCTGGGGGTTCCCTGAGCTGGTGAGACCGTGATCCAGCACAGGAAATTGTCCCAGCAGAGCGGCCAAGGTATGGAGGGCGGGCGAGAAGGCAGCTGGCCATAGTGGAGAAGTGGAGAGAAAAGAAGGCAGAGGGGGTCTCAGGAGTCCAGGTTCAGGGAAGAGGCAGAAATGGGGAGGGAAGGTGGTTGCACCAACGCCAAGGTTTCTGCAGACACAGGGCTTGTCTTTCTGCCTTTCCCTGAGTGATCCTGTAAGAAGGAGATTTGTCATAGGAAGGCATGGAAAATGGAAGCTGCAAGGGCATTTCTCAGGCTTTCACCATGGGAGGAGACCGGGGTTTCACGCAGCTACTCGGGGGAACATGGGCTGACGTGGAGGCACACAGAGGTGATCTCTATGTGTGCAGATGGGTGTGGATCAGGGTCAGATTCAAAGGTGCCAATACCGTGAAGCTGTGATCTCAGCCATTAAGGACTAGACCCCAAAACTCAGTCTGCAGGGTGGAGATAATGTAGCACGGAGTTCATGGCTACAGCCAGGTGATCGGTCTGCATGACAAGGAAGGCAAGGGGGAATTTGGGTAAATGAGAAAAGACACCACTCTTGTCACAGAATGGGCATCCACAGACTGTTGTGAGGAGCCTGTGTGAGATTCAGGACTGGACACAGGACTGCACTTGGGGCCAGGTGAGAAGCATTTCTAACATTTCAACAGATCTGCTTCAAAGTAAATGATGGCCTCGAGGTCCCAATCCCCAGCCTTGGAATCAGAAAGCACCTGAGCGGTTCTAATGTCCCACAGAAACCCCATGGCCCCATCTCCTGGGTTGGGAGCTCAGACCACAAAAGACCACTCAACAGCCCACTTGGGAACAAACCAGGACCCATCCCACCCTCAGGTCCTGACCCAAGACACATTTCCTCTTTCTGGCCTCTTAAGTTTTTATATTGGAGAATTTTCAACACAAAACACGGGAATAACAATGGTTTCTATGGGGCCATCAGCAGCCTCAAAGTCATGATGAGTCCGTGGCTCATTCAAATCCACCCACACTACAATGGCTCCTCCTTCACTTGATACGTCGAAGAAACTTCCAGACATCTCCTCTTTCTATCTGCAAATATTTCCCTTCCATCCTGGAAAGGTGAGGATATCGCAGCAATGGGATCATCAAACGTGAGGACTAACTACCGATAATGACTGAGTAGCTAAATAATCCAGGCTCAGAAAACCCCTCACACGTGTCCCGAGTTTCTTCACCCAGCTGGACTTGCAGTGTCCTTTATTTGTGGATGCTCCTTCCTGGGTGAGAGGATAAAATGAAGTTTCCAATTGGATTTGCTGCACGTGTTCTCAGACTGATGTCTCCTGCTAGATCCCCAGACTACGCTCTTTGTTACTTCCCAGCTGGGACCTCCAGGCGCTAAGGTGCTGGTCCTGGGAACTTCCAGGGTCACTGCACAGCCTCCAGCCTCAGAGAACTGTCACTGAGGGCTTCTCTCTGCTTCTGCTTGGCCTTCCAGCTGGCTCTTCCTCTATAGAGAGGATGAAGAGGGTACAGGGGACTTTCAAGGAGGCCCTTCTTTAACTAGGACAATGGCTTCTTCCAAGACAGGCACCGTGCACATGGGGCATCTTCCAGGGAGGGTTCCTCACCGTCATGCGGGACACTCAGGTCCACGAGGGCTGCACCCAGCACAGCTGCAGCTGGGGTCGGGGAGGGGCAATGCCAGGAGAGGTTTTTGCACCAGTGTGTACCACAGTGTTGGGTGTTCGGTGGAGGGACCAAGCTGACCGTCCTAGGTAAGTGGCTCCTTCTCCCGCTCTCTTGCTTCTACTCGGGATTTCAGACGATTTTCTGCCATTGTTTGGGCTTTTTCTGCACTGTGTCTCAGCCTGGGGTCAGACTTTTCCCTGCATTGAGGCTGTGAGTGCTGACCTCTTCTCTTCCCGTTCAGACCTTCATGCTTGCCTTAGGTGGTAAGCAGCAATCCTTCACCTCTGACCCCAGAGGCCGAGACAAACCCAGGATGACCTGCTAAAGCTCATCTGCCTGCCTGTGTCTCTCTTTTTTCCCGTTTGTCTGGATCTCTCCCTCTCTCTCTCTCTCTCTCTCTCTCTCTCT